CCATATGTAATAGAGTGACTATAGGACCAGTTTGATAGAACACTATTTTTATACAATATATATAATTAGGGGGTCGCTGCACCATCTCACCATCAGTTTGGGGGTCCTTAGCCTGGAAAACATTGAAGACCCCTGCTCTAAGACACAGTCCCTCCTCATTTGCATAATGAGTCAAAAATGCAGACAGAAGTGTAAAAATGACAGGCAGAAATAAATAGCATTGAAGCAATAAAGAAGGTTAAAAAAAACCACAAAGGAAGAATAAAACAGACAAAAATAAATCCTTTAAATAAGTAATTAATAAAGTTGAAAATTATAACGGACAATAAATAAATAAGTTAATTATTACCGGGCCAATAAATAAAGAAGCCAATTAAAAGAACAGCCTGGTTCTGCTGGAGGTTTCTTCCTGTTAAAAGAGAGTTTTTCCTCTCCACTGTCGCTACAAGCATGCTTAGTGTGAAGGATTGCATTTGAGTCAATGCAATCAACAGGTTTTCCTTGGATAAAAAACTGTTTGACTGTATGATCTGGTGAACTGTAATGTGCCATGAGATGACTTGTGTTGTGAATTGGTGCTATAAAAATAAACTGAATTGAATATATACATTTATGTCTCACTGTATAATTTAATTTCTACCGACATTTATTGTTATTGTATTTTTGGGGCAACTAATTGTATGCTTATATATTTATTAAGCATTTATTCATTTCGATATTTATTTTTAAATATGGTAGAGCTGGTCCTCCATAGATGTATGGCAAGCAGGAAAATAAAAAATATAAACAGGTGCACATAGTATACTGCTAATTAATAAATAACAATACATTGCTTTGACTAGAAAAATGTTGGAGAGCTAGTTTACTGCATGTGTTTCCATATTTCTGTGAAAAACAACTTAGTCTCTGGAACTTACTGCTAAAAACATGAAAAGATTCAAGGTTCTCTGTTAGCCATCATAGCTAGCATTAGCTGAATACAATGGCTGCAAATTGGAGCAGTTTTTAGTTTCGTCGCTCGGTTCCTCTTACCAATTCTTGAAGGTGGAGCACCGTCTTCATGAGCGAGAGTCTCCGGGTTCCCGACAACCGAACCAGCCGTTAGAAGAACGGCGATAAGCGCGAACTGACAGCCGTCCATACTGGCTGGAAGCAGCGCCACAGGCTCGGTTTAGCACCAGGTTAGCTTCAGGTTATCGCGTCTCCTGCGTTAGGTTGGTCATCTTTTATGTAAGCAACTTTACTGATATTCCACCGGGACCATTATCTCTAAATTAGGTGAAATAAGGATCGAATAAAAGAGCCCATTAATGAGGATCCCCGGAACCATCCCAGCGGGTCCGCACCATTTAAATGTCAGCGTGGCTGGCGGAGCACCGATTACCATATTGGAGTGGTGACAAGATTGAAGCTAAAGCGGCACCCCATGTTTGTCGAACATACGTTTATTAACAAAAATAGATATTATCTTTATGAACCATAAAATATTTTAGCTCTTACAACGTCTCCGTTAAATGTGGCGCCTCAAATGTTCTTAACTACAGATTCCCACCACAATAAAACCTGATTTCTTTTATATTTTGTTTGGTTTTAAAACAATCCAGCCCAAAATAGTGTTTTTTTCCACATACATTTTATTCGGCTATAGCAAAATTCCATATTTACGAAAAAAATAAATAAAACCACATATTTCTCTTTTTTTTTTTAAGTGATCTACAACTTTTTTTTGAAAGTTTCTGGTAATAAAAGGGATTTAAAGACTTTAAAGGCAGTTAAAACACACAAATTCCTTTTGTAACTAATTTTTATATTTTTATTTTGTCCTTTTCCTCCAATGTGTTACTTGCCCTCTCAAACAACTCACATTCCACAACCCACATCTGTTGCTTTATAGTGACCATCTACATCAAGATCCAAAATTCTGAGATTAAAGTTAGAATTCTAAGAAAAAAGTCAGAATTTTGAGAAAAAATTCTGAATTCTTAGGTAAAAGTCAGAATTGCGAGAGAAAAAGTCAGAATTCCAGGATAAAAGTCAGAATTCTGAGATTAAAGTCAGAATTCCAAGAAAAAAATGTCAGAATTCCGGAATTAAAGTCAGAATTCCGAGAGAAAAAGTCAGAATTCCGGGATAAAAGTCAGAAATCTGAGATTAAAGTCAGAATTCCATGAAAAAAGTCAGAATTCTGAGATTAAAGTCAAAATTCCAAGAAAAAAGTCAGAATTCCGAGATTAAAGTCAGAATTCTGAGATTAAAGTCAAAATTCTGAGAAAAAAGTCAAAATTCTGAGATTAAAGTCAGAATTCTGAGAAAAAGTCCGAATTCTGAGATGAAAGTCACTGCTTCCATTTCTCTTATTTTTCTGCCAACAGCAGTAAAAAATATTTCTATTCTATCGTAATTTCAAATTGTAACTAAATACTTTCTTAAATGTTTAGGTTTTGTAGGGCCAACCTCTGCAGCAAATAATGAATAGGCCCATAGAAATATTGAGTGAAGACATAAATCTATTTGCTAAAGCAGTCAGTGGGTTATAATTTGTTTCCTCACTTCGTGTTACAGATAAATAATAAAATGCGTTCAGTCGCATGAAGCCTTAAATTTTTCGCCATTACAAAGGAAAAATATTCCTCCCTGTTGTGGCAAAAGGGCAGCCGGCCGGATCATACACCGGCGGTTTAAAAAGGAGCGGAACTACTACTTGAAGGGGGCGTACACGTCAGGAAACAGCGAGTGACGTAAAACTCCTTTTCAGCAAAATAGGTGCTTACATGTGCGATTATATTTAATAGCGAGTTTTCCGTTTCCCAATTTATATTTATTTATAGTACATCGCATCAGGATAATTTTGAATTTAAGGAAATTAGCATTTTTCCTTTCGATATAATGTTCCAGTCCATTATACTAAGAAATAAAAAAATTTCCACCTGTAATTTTTAATCAAAGCATATTGAGTTTTTTTTTTTTTTAGCTGACCTTCTCTAGATTTGGTCAAAAATAAATAAATTAGGACTGCAACTAAAAATTATTATGAAAATCATTTAATCGGTTATTTTTTTTCCATTAATTGATTAATAATGAGACAGCAAAAAGTTGCCTTAAAGAAGATTTTTTTATGAAATTAAACACTGTGAAACAAAAATTTCTCCACTTGAGTTTTGGATAGTGCATATTGACAGAAAAAAATGTTTCATCTTAAATGCAATCGTTTTTTTTGCTTTTTTACAATTTAGATATAATTCCTGCTTTAAGTGGGTCGCTCTGTCAGTTAAAGGCATGTTTAATCTATATTCTCAAATTAACGATTAATCCGATTGTTTCAACCCTAAAATTAATTTAAAAACTTCATACTATACTTGTACTCTGACTGCGAGTATCAGAATACAGGTTCTACCAAACCAACTAGGTTGATTTAAACTTTATATCTTAAGGCGTTGAGCTGTTCCCATCAGAAATATTAAGTTCAATAAGTGGAAAGAACCAAACGAACAGCACCTCATATTGAAAAAAAACAGTGGACGTTGCGTTTATTTCATTTTACAGAGAAACTGCTGCGACATTTGAGTAAACCACTGAGCTGAAACTAACATTCACACTGTGCCGCTGAAACAGTGACTGGCACAGTGGAGCAGTAAGGCTTAAGGACGCCTCAGACATATACTCATTTAAACATGCGTGCGCCACACTCGTACACGCACACGCATCTTCATTTACATCAACTATCTTACATCTGTGCAGCTGCTCAGGCGACAGCCTCATCGCTTTCCCATCTCCCTCAGAGGTCTACAGTCGTCTGGAGATCATGTAACCTCTGTTCCCTGCTGTGACCTTAACGCAGGATGAAGAGGTGACATAATACAGTGATCTTAACCGTTCATCTCTAAGCAATTCAGCCCCCAGCAATAACACTGCGGGCCAGCCTGAAGGCTGGGGTTCAGGAGGTGCTGGGGGAAGGTCATGCTGTGGCCGAAGGCAGGGAGGAGCAGCACACTGGCCATGCCTGCAAAGACGACAGTCACTTGGTGGAGCGTCGCGTCGGCTCGGAGGCGGTGGGGGGAGGAGGCGGGCCACGTCTGTCTAAGTCTTCGATGTAAAACATGATCAGCTTCCTCCGCTCCTCTGGGACACACTCCAGGACGAGGTATCGCTTGTCGTTCTGGAGAATCTTTTCCACATCCTTCAGATGCTGGTCTGACTCCTGTATCAGCTTTCTTGACCTGAGAGGAGGGAGCAAAGAAATGGACCATTAGGAACGCCACAGTAATCTTATGAACTTGGTTTTTGGAACAAATCAAAAAACATTTACATATTTAGAGCATATAAACAACGTGACCCGGGTTCCTACTAGAGATGGCTTAATGAGGTATCTTGAAGCATTTGGACAGATTGCTAAACTGTATTGACGATGCTTTGATACTGTCTCACAGAATACTGACACTTACTGGACATTTAAAGTCACTACAGGCAGCTTATTTGACAGACTAAACTGAATTGATTTGATGACCAAATACATATAAGGTTATATTGTATTATTTAATGTCTGTGTTTGAATTGAAAATATCTGTGATCAGCAATAAATAATGTATCATAATGTGAAAATTTAGGTGAAATGTAAATGAGGATGTTTGTGGACCAGGATTTTATATAATAATTTTTAAACAATAAGTACAGTAAAAATAGTAAATAAACTAAGAGTTAATTTGAAATTAACTTTAATTCAGATAAGTTGAGTGATAACTGAGAGGAAAAGGATGACACAACAAGAAAATTTAAATAAAAATGCAACGGCTGTAACTTTCCTATTCCTTTTAAGCTGCTACAAAAATCTTGATAATTTTAATGACAAACTGCAACAGATGAGAGATTTTTTTTTGCAGATGCATCATGTTGACAGATAAGTTTTTAAACACGGTTTAGTAAAAAAGTCAGTTAGGAACAATTCCTGTATCGGTCACACGACTTTCTTAAGTCAAGTTAAATTCAAGACTTTTTATGACTTTTTTAATGCCACTTGAAATAAAAATTTAAGACCAAATTCACAAGAAAAACCTGCTTTCGACAACTTTACCCAAAGATTTATTATAACATAAACCACTGCACTAATGTTTCAAATTTTGAAAAGCTTCCCATACAGGAAGAAAGCTAAAAACACACAAATGACAGATATATTTTAACAATTATTAAACTGAATTCACAAACTTATATCAATATTTCACCAAAACAAATCAGTTTTAAAGCCCCAACATAACCAGTGCTAAGTCTTTTTTGCGGCTATTTTTCTTC